GACGCTTTGGTTCGCAAACCCGGAGTGACTGGCATTCAGACAATGCGCTCCTCTTATATACAGGAATCGTAATCTCATCGCCATTATTGGGTGCGTTCACATAGTCTGTACACAAATACCGTCTCAGTATTTTGTGAAATAATTTTTGTTTTGGTTATAACTTATTGAAACATTTGTTAACAACTCAATAAAAAACTTAAAATATTAAAACATATATTTTAGTTACACTTTTTTGCGTTCGGTTACAAACTTATGGTAACTTTGTCTAAGAACTTAACAGAACTTTTGATTTCAATACACTATATATAGCTCGAGTCGGCTCTCATCTCAACACTCATTCACTTTCTCACTCATAGTCTTTCACACAATTAAACCATATTTTAAGTTATCATTAAAAACATTGATTTAATTTATTTTATTTAATAAAATAATTGTTACGATTGTTAAACAAGTTTGGGATGAGAAAATCAAATACAGGTACGTTTTCTGATTATTTGTATATTTATTAATGTTTCAATAGTTTTGTAAATTTTTGTAATTATTTTACAAATATTTAGGAAATTATTAATTGAAAACGTTTTTAAAAATATTAAAGATTAGTAAATACTGACAATATTGTGAGTGAATAATATGCAGAATGAAAAGTTAATGATAAAATACCGTATAATTATTGCCGTAGATTTGGTGCTTCTTGTGTGCCAACAAAATGAGGTGATGTTGAGAGTGACTGAAGAGGAAGAAGTGGTCGATTGTGACCAACAATCCGATCGACGCCCGAAATGGATGCACACTATTTGGTCGGCTTTAAAGAGGGGCACCATTTGGTTGGGAAAGTGTATTACAAAAGCTATGATCACTGAATGCATACATCAATTGTTTGAATGACAAGAATATTCTTATCACAAGAATTGCTATTAAAATTAATTTAAAAATTATTTTCGATAAATATTTGTACCATTTTATTGCAGATAATTTGCAATGCTTTTAAAAATTAAATTTTATTGAATTAAACATTGTTTTGTTAACTAATATTATTAAAATCTAATACACTTATGCTTTCAAATATTAATGAGATTTTAAATTTACCATTTTGTTAGTATACAATTTAATACTCATACTTAGATTCAGTACAATATTATGATTATTGATGTTTATCTTGAATATAGTTTACAATTAGTTAATTGAGTACCTAATTCAAGTAATGTGTTGTTTATTAACGTGTTATTATCAGTCAACATATTTAATAGAGTCGTCGCAATCATTACGTAACTTGTTTTGCAAAATGTGTGTAAAAGTTATAGAAAGTTATGCAAAGTTTCAAACTTCTCAAAACCCATCCCCTCTTTCACTCCCATTCCTATGACTTCACTCTCTATTACATGGAGTCATAGGAAAGTTATATAACGTTTTGATAACAAAGTAAACAATTATCAATATTTAATTAATTTGATTATTCAATAGAATTGACCACAAAATGTATGAACAATCTGTTCCCTCGCCGTCGCAATTGTCGGTCATAAGCGGCCTATCAATTGATTCACAAGTAATCGATGATATGATAGATGTCTTCAATATCTGTGGAGACAATCAATTGGTGGACAACATTCCCAAAGAGTGTCGAGTGTGCGGACGGAACGGACCAAAAGGTAACCAAATATTTTATTTTAACACAATTTAGTCATAAATAATATGATTATATTTATAACAATTTATTAACTGTTAGACCAAATCGGGTATAAATACGGCGGCGGCCTATCGTGTAATGCCTGTCGACTTGTGTTTAAAAACCACGCAAATAATGAACAGGTTTTGTATAATTAATTATTGAAATTTATTGTAATTATAATTAATTTCATGGAAAACACTATAGAAAAGGACAACTCATAAGAATTGTGAGCTAAGCCTTCAGGAGAGACAAAGTTGTATCGCTTGTCGTCTACGCAAATGTTTTGACAATAAAATGGACCCGGTTAGATTTTAATAAATAAATAATTAAACCTTGCTTAAATAATTGCGATTAATTTATTGTAAATTAATATTTTAGTCATTGATTGATCAGCGAAAGCGAACCGAAACCAAAACAGTGGCCGTAATAGAGAAGTGTGCGAACACTTCGGCCACAAATGCATTGTCGGATCCGTTTGACATATATTTGGCCAAAACTGTGTCTCTGATAATTGAAACCAATACAACACTACCATTACATATACGCAAGGATCAGCTCGAAGAGATAATCCACCCGTTGTTAAGTCAGATCACAATCGCAATCGAGTCAATCCGGCTTCCGGTACTGTCCGACATGAGAGATGAGAGAGCTTTCCTGTTGCTATTAAATCCACAATTCAAGCAATTCAATATTAATATACGAATGTGTGCCAATATTATGAAGCCCTTCACTAATCTGTGCCAATCCGACCCAAAAGTGCTTTCATTCGGACTGACACTCGAAAGATTAAGCATTATTATAATGACCAAATCGATAGAATTTTATAAATCATTAACTCCAGTGATCCAGTCAAGAGACAATCAACTCATGCTGCCATTGTCTCAACAATTGGATCAATTGAGTGATATATGTGCAAATCATATTCATAAGATCACTGTATCTCATGTCAGTACTCAAACTGAAGAGTACATCAAATGATCAACAATTGCGGAGAAGAGGAAGATATGAAGACAACAATAGATAATAATAATGAAGACATGAATGCCATTGAAATGTCGGATCAAATGACAACTAAAAGGCGGCCAAAAAATAAGACAAGAACCGAAGAAAATAAACAATAATTTGAGTGGAGATTCGATTGAATGTAATCTCCAGAAGAAGAGGAAAACCACTAAAAGATAGAAATCTGTGGTTAAAACTGATCCCCAATTGTGGTGTTTATTTTGAATTTAATTGCAATGTGTAATATTACAATTAAATTATTATTTTATGCAATAATTTATGACAATTTATATATTCAATAATTTCTTTAATATGAATTTAATATACAGTATATTAAATTTGTAATACATATTTTCGCTTTAATAATGTATTACTTTAATAACATAATATTGAAAACAATCAACTCTGGCCTTAATGTATACAATATATTGAAGGCCTGAATGTCGGGAAGTGTTGACTAAATATAACGAGTGGTCTATTAATAGGAATATTCTGTTAAGTGATTTGAGTCCACTTTACATACATTTCAATGAAATGACAATAATTTTTTTATCAAATATTGGCAACAATTATATATTTATTTAGTAAATAATATATTAAATGGCATATATTTAATTATCATATATTTAATTATCATATATTTAATTAAATAAAATATTTTTAAACATTAAAACTTTCAAACTTTAGAAATAAAAATACAGAAGTATTTGAATAAAAAGTTTATAAATCGCGTAATTCATTGAAAATTACTTCACTTTTCATATGTTTGTGATTTTTGTTTACATTTTTGTCATTCAATTGTTGTTTAGTTTTGCACTTAATTTGTATTCAAATTAATTGTGAATTAGTTTTAAATGTGATTTTGAAGTCAATTATGGATTCAATGATTAGTAAAAAGTCATTAATTATTAGTATTATTGATGTTTATCTTGAATATAGTTTACAATTAGTTAATTGAGTACCTAATTCAAGTAATGTGTTGTTTATTAACGTGTTATTATCAGTCAACATATTTAATAGAGTCGTCGCAATCATTACGTAACTTGTTTTGCAAAATGTGTGTAANCACTCAAAATATGAAACACTTATCGATTCAGAAGACAATCAACACTTCCGGACATTATCTCAACGATTGGATCAAATCGATGGCAATTACTTGAAGAATGAAATTTATGGCATAAAAGATATGAAAGAAATGCAAACAATACATGAAAACGAAGATAATGTCCGACTCAAGAGTGGATCAAATGGTAGACAATTAAGAAAACGTAAAACACAAGAAGTAATGCAAGATATAAATGAATTAAATGAAAACTCGGATCAGAATTATAGCGAAGACATGAGTGAAGAATCAGATGATAGTTATGTCAAAACGAAGAGAAGGAAAAGCAATAAAACACAAGAAGTGGTGACAAAACCGGATTCATTGAAAGCGATGACTCGATTGCCGCGAAGACCTCAGATTAATACTAAGAAATGCTATGATTTAACGACAAAGACATACATTTGTCCCAAAAATGATTGTCACAAGAGTTGCGAAACTATTACACAGTTTTACAGCCATTTATCGCGTTGTCGTTCAGAACCGATATTTAAGTGTGAATTCAAAGGATGTGATCGAGTGTTCAAATATCGATCATGTCTTAAGAAACACTCCAAGACTCACACAAATGTGATCACTCGACGGATCAGTTATCGGTGTGAATACAAAGACTGTCTTAAAGTCTATTACAGTAAGAATTCGCTGAAAATGCATGAAATGATACACAACTCAACACCAATTGAGCGCAAATTTAAGTGCGATTACAACGAATGCCAGAAGAGATTCCGTACGAAAGGACATCTCAGCGAACATTTGAAACTGCATTCATATGAGAGACCGTTTGTGTGTGACTTCATTGGGTGCGGGAAGAGCTTTAAGGGGTCAACTAATCTCAGAAGTCATTCATTGGTACACAAAACGGGTCCCACTCTTAGCTGTGATATTGACGGATGTGTTGATATGTTTTACACCGAATACCACCGAAGCCTTCATCACAAGTCTGTTCACAATTACTGTCCAAAAGAGTCTGTAATTTGTGTCGAAAACAAGAAACAAGAGATGACTAAAGACTCGGATAATAATTGTAGGGAAACGACAACTACTTTGGATTTACGTAACGATTCAAACAATTCATTACTGGATCTCTTGAAGAGTAATTTTACAGAAAGAGGCAAATACTTTGATTTGAATACAAAGACATATAAATGTCCGATAAATGATTGCAACAAAACTTTCAAATTGAATCGACAATTTTACAGCCATTTGACTTATGTTCACACGAGTGACCGATTTATATGCCAATACAAGGACTGCAATAAAGTGTTTAAATCTAAAGACAATTTTAGATTTCATTTAGATTATCATTTAAATGGCAAACAATTTAAGTGTCATTATAATGGCTGTAATTATGAAACGCATAGAAATAAATTATTGAACGAACATTTAGAGATCCATTCAACTGAGAGACCAGTGTTTAGATGTGATGTCATTGACTGCGGGAAGACATTCAGGGGATCGAAAGGTCTTTCGGCTCATTCGCGGACACATGAAAGCCAACCGACGCTGAAGTGTCGTATTGATGAATGTAGTGATATGTTTACGAATGAACACCAAAGACGCAAACATCAAACCCGTGTTCACAATCGGGCGCCGCTTAATCACGGACTAAGCCGTTGCGATTGGCCGGGATGTGAGTGGACGGGCAATGGTATCGGTGATCATAAACGGCAACACACGGGTGAGAAGCCGTTCCCGTGTTTATGGCCAGAGTGTGACAAACGGTTCCGATTGAAAAAGATGTTAAGCGATCACATGAATGTTCACAACAATGTTAAGCCCTATGCCTGTCATTGGCCCGGATGTACATATAGGTCCCCTAATAGTGCTAATGTTTGTAAGCATACAAAACAAGTCCATAAAATTGTAAAATAATTGTAATTTGATTAATTAATAAACAAATTGTTTGAATTTTTATATTTATTTTAACGCAATTTAAAGTACAGTATTATATCTTTTGTGTCAAATCTTATCAATTTATAATAGTATTTAGTTTTGAAAAATATTATTCAATTATTTTGTATCAAAACTTGATTTTAATTAATAAATTTGTGTTAAATATTTATTTTTATTATAATTTAATTAATAAAAAGTTTAAGTTATAAAGTTTTGATGACTTTATAAATCGCGTAATTCATTGAAAATCTCATTACTTTTCATATGTTTTAAGATTTTGTTTACATTTTTGTCATTCAATTGTTGTTTAGTTTTGCACTTAATTTGTATTCAAATTAATTGTGAATTAGTTTTAAATCTGACTTTGAATTCAGTTATGGATTCAATGATTAGTAAAAAGTCATTAATTATT